AGGACATAGATGAATTGTAATAAAATTAATCATTGATTTATTTTTTAAACACGAGTAAACTGGTATCCGAGTAACAAACTTTTTTCCACAGATAAGTATGTAAAGGATGAATGTTTCATCAGCTGGCGGTCAACAATATTCGATTTCATTATACATATATCCTAAATAGATTTTACCAATGAAACACATGCAAACTGCACTTGCATGATTTTTGATTCATAAGCAAAACCAGTCACGATACATTTACTACTTAAGTTCATTTAGATTCAACGTCCAATGTAGTAGTAATAATCTTTCTTAATTCAGAGACTGCACATATATAAAGGTCATTTAACTGTAATATGCAGTATATCCACCTGTCGGTTTATTTGCCTTGCACTCATTTCTCCTAAATTTGACAATGAAAGCGTAAGGATTTACTTAATGAAGCATAGCATTGCCGACATCTCTCCTGGACTGCAAAACAGCTTAGTAACAGAGCAATGGTATGCATCTAATGACCGGCTTCCCCCTACTGCTAAGACAACATAGTCTAATAAAGGGACATTAGTTACAAATTCAAACAGGTAACTTTACGATATTAAATAAATCAGGTAACTTAAATAAATCTTTAAGTAAAGTAAGGTTAACCCCTCCTCCCTCACGTACACCCATTGAATAACGTATAAATATCAATTTCATATTATTGTAGATCTTAGCATTGCTGATTACCATGATGTACAGATGTACTTAATTTTGTTATGAGCTGAAGTTTTGTGGTAGCTTCATATTCTGGACTCGCCCATAGCTGTTTAACTTTCGTATTCGACCCGATGTTACAGCATTAAGAACAGTGGTAAGAAGAGATCATAGTTTAAATAGGAACATCTAAACCAAGGTTTTCCAGGGTCAGTGCTTGTCAGCAACGCAGATTCATAGTAGAAGCGTATCAGCGGTTTCGGCTATCGTTTATATGTTTACACTCATTCTTTGCTGTAAAGCAAATCATTGGTTTAGCGCCAATCATAGCAGTTGATCGGTTTATTTTATGCTTACAAAAACAGAAACGGTTGATGAACCTCCTGCGGCGACCTACTTTGGCGTTTGTACATGAAATGGCATCAGCATGAGGGAAAGAAACCAGTCACAAACGAGTTTCGCTCCTGCGCAGCCGGATCTTCAGAGATTTATTGACCGTCGGCGAGCGGCGAACAAAAGCAAACATAATTTCTGTTATTGATCTAATGCATGATGCACTCCAGACTCCATGCTAGATGGAAGTTTCGAACCAATGTTGTGTAGAATGAAGCTGGAATGTTCCTAATTTCCTATTTCCCCTAAACTCTTTGAAAAGATCTTTCCCCTACACTCTCTGCATAGTGTAGGTTCGTTTTGAGGCGGCTTTGTAGGCAAATAAATCTGAGTCGGCTCTAGAGAATCTAGTGCGAGAAGGAACGTTCCGTTTAAATTATATGGCGGTAGCGAAAACCAATTGTTCACCTAGAAACTGTCAAGGTGCTCCAGGAGAAACGTGAAAACATCAGCTTCCTCCCCTTTCTAGCATCAAAAGTACACCATTTTGACGCAAGGAATCCTGTCTAAGGAGGTTACCGGCAATGTTGGGGTCTCTGGAAAACGAAACCATTGTAAAAATATAACGACAAATATAATGTATTCTGTTGTTAACTAATATCTTTATTTGTATTATTTCATACATTAGACATTCCTAGTGAAGGAAAAATTGGAAAATCAAAAGCACTTATTCATATTAATCTGTTTAGGTTGTTGGTACTCATTAATAATGATACGGTTAAAGAAAATGAACTAAAGTAACTTATCACATGCCATCAAAGTTTTTATGACTTTTGGAATATCATTCTGAAAAGGTGTTAATGAAAATGAGTCTGGCTTAGAGCGACTAGTTAGTAGGACAAGACAGACGTATGTCATCGTCAATGCACATCGAGTCACTTGTGTTTGGTGGCATCACCTCAGCTAGCAAAAGCAGCTGATGATCAGTCTTAGATATCGATTCTTCAGAAGAATAAAAATATTGTGTACATGTATGAATGTCGTTCATAACTTTTATCAAAGAAAATTGAACAACTTTTCGATTGGACACCTAGGCAGATGAACACGACTGAAAGTGACGTGGTCATAATAAATAAGGAACTCCCTGGAGAAATAATGACCCTGAAGCTTTAACACAGAGACGCCATGTTCTGCGCTAAGGATGCATTCACACGCTAGACTACATGGCAATGAAAGTTCAAAATTTGGAGCATCAGCGAAGCCGAACGATATCAAAATTATTTTTCATGACATTATTTAATGAACGGTCCCCTACTGCGTGGCCACCATTTCCTTTCTTCACCAGGTTCGGCCAAACCAGAACATTACTTGATTCTTCCATAGGTTAAGATCTTCTGCTTCAGTCACCTTGAATATATTTGATTTTCAGCATCAGGTGGTAATGATGTTCGAATTTAAGTACAATTATCTTCTGCCATGTCGGTAAATATGCGAAACAGAACATAGCTGACTGACTTTGCTTAAGGTTTGGTAATTAGCAGTGATACATGCCGTAGTTCATGTTCATGCTTTAAAGATGAAATTTGATACGGCATAATTTCTCATTTCTTTTCAATCCCATTCAACAGCTCATTATTTTATACGTAATTTCTTCGTAACAGTTTGTTTTAGCTCAAGGTCCCACTTTGTTTGCCTATCATAAACACAGACAGTTATTCATAAGCGAAAGATTTCTTTTAAATTCATCTGGTAAGTACATATAATCGTTCGACGCTCTTCTATAATGATAATTTCCTTTATGACTCGGATACCTCTTCTGACACGTTAAATCATTACCGCATCGTCATTAAATCATTATTTCTTTCTTTGCCTGATTCCTGACTAGTTTATAGCCATCAGAAACCGTTCATAGGCAATTTCATACGCATGACACTTGTATCTATTCATTGGAT